CCTTCTAAAATGGGCCAGAAGCTACTTCTGCTTGAAAATTACTTTTCTGTATCACCTATCCTTAAAAGAATGCTGCTCACAGTTCCTCACGTATTTAGTTGTTTTGTTTCTCTCATTGACCTTGAAAAGGACAAGAGTTGGTAAGTGATGCTGTATGAATATTTGGCTTAAGAAAATCCCCAAATTTTTGCATCTAATTTGATCATTACCTACTGGCCTCTGGGATGAAGAGCCTCCTCAGTGTCCTATGTATCATCTGATGTGTGGCTAATGTAACATGCTCTCCTAGGGAGTTCATTTTCAATAAAGTACCCTTCTGCTAGGAAAGCAAAATAGCAACTCAATTAAAAAAAAAAAATACAATGAAGGTCACTCCAATTTTCCTATCCTGCTACAGAGATAAAGCAATGGAAAATGCAAGCTGCATTTGCATTAACATATGGGAAATTAAAGAGCATCATGAGGAAAACTCTTTGACAGGGTAGAGTTCCAATTTAGGATGCCTCTGGAGAAAGAAGGGATGAAGTTAATAAACATTAGTAAGAAAAGATATTAATCAGTCATGTGCTAGAGCATTCAGTGTAGGATAATAAATGCTGCCTAGGTGGAAGCAAGCAGCAATGGGAATCGCAGTCCCTAGTCAGTCAGAGCTGGTTATCATCAGCTGTGTGACGCATCTCTGAGAGCTGAGCTTGTAAGTGCTCCTAGCTTTTACAAGAAAGCTTCTGCCTCTCTTACATGTTCATGCCAGGACCAAACACAAGCTGACCTTTATCTCTCCAAGCCTCCTGTTTTTTCCCTTGTACATCTGACTTACTGTTTACTTACTGCAGAATAGTAACGGTGAGGCACAATTGATTAGCATTTGCAAATTGCTTGGAGATACTGGAATGAAAGGAACTTCAGAAGCGTGCAGAAAAACTTCTTTGTTAGAACAGTATGTCTGTGCCAGCAGGTTTAATTCACAAGAAGCTTTCTAGAGCAACAGTATCAGGAAAATACTCAGAGGAGATGCTTCTTCACAAGTTTACAAGTTTTTTTTTTTTTTCCAGGAATATGTTTCTTCCAAAGTTTTGTATTTTTTTAATTGGAAAATTTAACTTTGACATACTTGGCAAACACCTGCCAGGCAGAGGCAGTTGTATTTTCATATTCATAACTTCTTACAGTCTTCAATCCAAGTCCCATGAATTTTTGAAAGCGCATCTTGCTAACTAGACTAGTCAAATATATTGATATCAAGTTGATATTCAGACAGACGTTAGATAGCATCCTGCCTCCAGTATAGTTTAGTGTTGGATCCTTAGAAATCAAAACAAAACCCCACAACAGTAAGACCAGCTGCAGGAGCCCTATGCCTGCAGGGTGATATGCACACTGCTACCTCATTTATTTTACAAGTGCTAGATCTGCTCCTTACTTCCCAGGAAGGACTAAAGGCAAAAGATGAATTAGGGCAATGATCAGCTGAATCTGGATAGTGTAACAGTGAGATCTGTAACGACAACAGATCCATTTAGCTGACGGCCCACAGTGTCAGCTCACAGAGGTACCAAATACTGCAGCTGATTCTCTCTCACATCACAGAGCAAGAGACAACCCTGTTGCACATACATACACCGTAAAGTTATATGGGGAATGCACAGTAAATTTTTGTGCTTTTGTGCATACATAGTGGCAAAGCAAATGAGGAGTTCTGAGAAAGATGGTGGTTGCTGCCCAAGCAATTTCTCAACTCATTTCAACCTTTTTGCCCCAAGGGATTGCTTTTATGAAAGGCAGTGAAAAGAAATGGTCTGAGATCATTACCCTAGCAGGCTTTGCAGCCTGCAGGCTACATATCTCTGCAACCTCAATGGTGGGGCAAAGTTAAAGGAGGAGAGAAGGACCATGAAATGGAGCAACCATGGCACGGAGCATAAGTGACAAAATCATAAAAAAAAAAAAAAAAAAAAAAAAAAAAAAAAAAAAAAAAAAAAAAAAAAAAAAAAAAAAAAAAAAAAAAAGTGTTATCACAGGAACTCTGGGTTTTAAATTGAACCCTCCTAAAAACGTATAAGAATGTGCCAAAGAAAACTTTTTTTCTCTCATTTTTTTTTCAACATTTTTAAATTCCAGATTTTGTAGAAATTTTGATTTGTATGACTACTGGAAGCACTGCATTACAGAGAAGTTGCACTTCACCCAGTTACCTCCTTTCTAAGCCTAGCTGTTGCCACTTGACCAGCCAGCTCTAAAAGTAATGGGGTTCTGTAGATTTCTAATCTCTGCCAGCTGTTCCATGAACAATGACAAGCAAGAGCCTGCAAGAGGAAGAGCATGACAAACAGGCTAACCAAAACCTTCAGCCAAATTCATTGCAGTGTTTTATCACTGCATTCTTCATGATGGCTCTTGTCAACAGCTATTTTTTAAAACCAGAGGAACATTTTCTTCCCTTCCTTCTTCCCTTCCCCTTCTCCTCAAAGATGGCAGTCCAGGGCTTTCTTGAAGGTCCATGAAGACACTGGTTATATTGCAAGATTCCCCCTCATTTTTTTAAAAAATTTATAGTTTAGAAAATAATCTGTGTAGTTATTAGACTTTAAGAAGCTCCAGAACAGCACAACAATAACATATTTTAATGTACATTCCAAGTGACAACTCCTGTGCTTCAAATAAACCATGCAATAGCAAACTGCTTTCCAGAGAAAAATCTTCACAAGAAGATTTCTGAATTTAAGAATCTTCATAGGAACAGAGGAACAATCATTTGTTTCTCTGATTTATTCGCCAAGTACAGCAAGCCAACTAAAATGCTAAGTATTTTAAAACCTCTCAATTTCTCAATTTCTGTCATGCTATACTCAAGCTTCGCTAACCATGCATTACAGGCATGTACAGGTATTTTACAGGCAAAGGAAACAGAAAAGAAGAATTTGAACTGCCTGCCTCTAGGACAAATATCATCATTGGCCTTTTGTAATTGGAAAAATTAAAGAAATCAAGTAAAGCTTTTGTCAGAACTCACTCTTCAGTAGGAAATGTATGCATATAGGAAAGCGGTGAACAGACACCACCACCAAATCTACTGCTGAAAAAAAGTCTGTGACTTGTTGCAATAAGGGTAATAACTGTCATTGTGCAAACACCTTTAATACAAAATTGGTGGAGTGGTTCTGCTATAGAATTTGATGGGTTAGCGAGATGGCATTTGCCAAAGGAATTCTTTTTCAGGTTTTAAAGGTAATTCTGCAATTACCATACTGAATTTATTTATGTTTCCATTAAGAAACAAAAGCACATTATTTTTTACGACACTTTTGCAAGGGGAAACAAATGTTTTTAGTAAGCAGAAGAGTCCACAGTAATCAATATTAGTATCTTCTGATATCCAGAAATTGGACTTTTAATCAAATGAGTTCCAACAAAATATAAATGCAGATTAGGAAAAAAAACCATCAAAAACTGTGGCTATTCGGTGATTCACCTGAGCATGAGTATTATTTAAAGTTCAAAAGATATAGTCACCTTCCAGTCACCTTTATTCACTGCTATTATGACCTTTATCACCTGTTGAGTTAAATACATGGCTAGGCTGATATCTGAAGTGATTAAGAACATATTCCATTCAAAAGAATAAGGAGTTCTGGAGACGTCCCCTTCAACTGAGTTAAGCACTGCTTAAATTTACATTGACATAAAAGAAGAATAATGGCTGCTTTAATAATGAGGGACCCTGCCCACTTATAACCAAAATACTACCTCTGATTCAGTATGAAGTATTTTGATTTGAACCCAGCTACGGATTATAGAAAATTGGGATTAAGCAACATCAATTTATGGAAGGATTAAAAGAGCTGCTACTCACTTGAACTTTGTACTTAATTTTATTCAGTGGGCAAATTTCATTACGTTTCAAAGGAGTTTATTAGTGTTTTTTAAATTCCCACAGTCAACTTAGACTGTTCAGACTCTAGAAAGCACTGAAAAGGCATTTTGTTTTAAATGGGCATATAAACTGCATTGCATCTACCTGCATAAAAAATAGATTATTTGGGATATACAAAGAATTTCTTCTCTTTCAGTACTGGTGACACTGGGCACTCGTTTTTGTGCATACACATCCAGAGCTGTGTCCTTGTGCCCCCTGCAGCCAACAGAGCCCCCGGTTCTGCTAAGGGCCTGGGGAGGGAGTGCGCGGCATGCGTGCGATCGCGGGCCTGCAATGGGTCGCTGGAGGGCTCCGATGACATCTGCACAGGCCACAGCCGCCTTGTCACCGCTGCCATTTATGTCACAGTAAACTGGATCGAGGGAGAACAGAGGAGACATAAAACATTTCCCCCACTCAGTGCTGCTGCTTCGACTTTGCTCAGCAGAATTCTGCTGCTGCTGAGGATTTTGGCACCTTCTTACCAATGTTAGCCCTTGGGCTACTCAAAATGGTTTAAATAATAAAACAAACTCGCCTCCTGATAGCATTATAATCTCTTTTTTTTTTTTTAAACTTTTTTTTTTGGATCAGTGATTTCATTAACAGATAAAGCTTTATTTGTATTATTTCTATGATATTTCAGGGATTTTAGGCACCGTGTGCAAGTTTTGAGGTCTCTGGTTCCTTTCAGTGCCATTAGGATGGCCTCCTTCCTGATCCCCCTCACACATTGGGGGAACAACCATGCAATAAGACACAAAAGGCAAACAGCTGCAGACACACACATCAAAGATATAAATTTGGCATATAATTTTGACAATTCTTTTGATATCTGTGTCATTTTGCACCCGATGTTTCTTGTTGTTTCTTCCCTTGTGTGCCCTTGTACCATAATACACTTCAAGTGCTCTCCCATGTAAGGCAGGTTGGGAACAGTCCAAATGACTTGACTGGGAGACCTTTTTTTTCCCCTGAATTTAGCAAGCTTTCCCACTTTGCTCAGTGGCGCACAGTCTTTCAGATCTATTATCTGACAGGAACCTGCTCCAGGTGGCATGAGAGGGGCTGGGAAGCACAGACTTACATTTCAGCTCCAGTTTGATGAAGTCCGTGTTCCCCAGGTTCTCCAGAAACACTCCGTCCGAGGCCGACGTCTTGAAATAGAAGGAGATATCAGCGCTGGTCTCCCCTTGGAAGGTGGAGAAGTGCAGGTAGGAGGAGGAAGTAAAGAAAGAAGCAGCATTCCAGTAGTTCCCTATGGAGACCGGATAGAGAGGAAATACATACATTTCAGTGCTCCCTGAAAGCTATTAGGAAGTTCGAAGTTTTTAATGTCAATACATGTTCCTGTGTGGTCTACAGTGAAAAAAGCAGACAAAAAAAACCTTTGATTCTACTATTTTTTGTTTCACTGGAGATGGCCTGTTAGTTTTCAAACAGTTAAGATAGAGTTTATATATTTTCAAGTTCCTAATCTATGATATTGTCATACACAAAAGTGTTGTTGAGAAAAGGCTTCTAGATAGTAAAGTTACTCCCTAACTTTATATGCAGGAGTGATGCTGAAGACATAGGAGATCAAGCACATGGCAAAACACTAACTTGGTAACTATGCCACCCCAGGCACAGGTTTCACATTCATAAATTGACTCATGTATAATTTATCTGCCTTCAAATTTACTCTATACAACTGCTTCCATTTCTTCTGAAAATCTAGCCAAGTTTGCTGCATGTCTATTAATATGTATCACAGAAAAAGAAAATGATAAGTGAAGTTAAGCAATATAGATAGAATGAATATATACCACACAGCCCCCTAATACATTTGCAGTGGAGAAACTCAATTATTAATAATATTCACAGATTATAGCAATACTTTTGCTAGCAAGGCAGTCAACATTCTGTGCAAGGCCGCATCCTGTGACAAAGAAAAAGAAACATCAGGTATTGATGATACAGTAGTGATGATATAGTGAGTCCAGCGGGAGAGTGAAACAGCTTACGGTACTTTTACCAGGATACATATATGATCAGAAATACATTAAAGTATCACCCCTTAACTCACCATAGCTGTGTGCTTAGTATTCCAGCTAACACACAGTAAGACTCTGCTTCCCATTCCAGCCCAAACTCTGTAAGATCAGTTTTCTGTTATTTGATTACCAAACTAGATGATAACAATTATTTCTTCAGTTTGCACTGGCTGAATATAAATGAACACAATGAAGCTTAATAGTGGTTAAACACTGGCCCACACTCAGCAGTCAGAAGTGCTGGAATTTGTATAATCTATTAAAGTCTATTCAAATTGAAATTGAACATCTGAATTAATAAAAGAAGGTTTTAGGTTGCAATACATAAATACTATCTCCTTCCATATTTCTCTTCCCTTTTCTTTGCTTAATTCTGCCTCTCTCAAGAATGCAGAATGAGTGGTTTTGAAAACCACTTTGAAAAGAAGCTGCTTTCCATTTTACTTTAATGAATCCCAGGAGGAAAGCTGAAACTGAGAGTATCTGTGTGGATGCACACATGTGGGTGGTAAGAAGGGACTCATATAGGTCTGGTGCAGTGGAAATGCATGTATCACACTGAAATATAAAACTTTCAACTTATGAGGCTCTGTCAAGTGGTTTCCAATTAAAATATCATTTGGCATATATTACTATTTACTGTATTTAGACAAACTTGCAATATCTGGATTGAATTATTAGTAATGATTTCTAAAAAAGGCAAGTAATCTTAGCATCACGAAAGAGCTGGGGCAATAAATGTCTGTTAATTCACTACAAAGACTTTCTCTGAAAACACACCCAGTGGTTTGGCAAGAAAAGTGGACATAACCCAGAATTCTCTTTTCACTTGTTAGGGTTGTTTACAGTGTCAGTGCATGTGCGATTTGGCTGTTATCTCGCTTGGAGCATGGGATCCAGATGGAATCTGGTTTAACATGCCCCATATTAATACAAGCCCTATATATATACCAAAGTAGGTGTAAACTACAGTACTACACTGTGGTAAAATCTGTTGTGGATATTAATGCAATACAATAAATGAAAGGAGGAACTGCTGTATGAAGCATGCTGTTCATTTTGTAGTATTTTACTCATAACTTATTTATCTTGCAAACATGCCAGCATTATATGTAGCTTAACAGACAGACTCAGTTTGCAGGGCTGGTGGTCTCTGCATTAAATCCTTAACTACAGAGCAGAATAGCCACACAGAAAGCAGAAAGCACAGTTTTTGCTTGATATTAAATGCTTCCCCTTGAGATTTGCACTTGTACCTGGCGATCCCTCTGAATATAAGCATAGGAAAAAAAATAAATTTTGTAGCTTTTCTTAGGTAAAATACAGTTTGCAAGAGCCTTGAGAAGCAGTATTGCTTGTAGGTTTACCCAGCAGGGCCCTGGTATAGGGCTAAGACTCCTACCAGCACTACAGTACACTTGCAAGGAGGACTAACTACTGCTACCAGCTACGACTACAGCACCACAGACGCTAATGGGGTTCGCATTAACATTCAGGGCTTGATTTTGTGGAAACAAAGCCAATCAATTTTTATTTAGTGCTATGTCTAGCCTACTGAAGAGACTCGTCATTAAGGAAAGAATTAATATTGCTTTTGAAACTCCGTGATTGGACTCTCCACAGAAAGCCTTGGCTGCAGATGCTACTTGTTAGAGGACAAATACACACAGTGCAAAACTTGCAGCTTGAGCAACAGCTTCAAAGACGCTGCAGAACAAACTCCTACCAAGCCAAAAATCTCTTGCTCCTCCCCCCCCCCCCTTTTTTTCTTTTAAATACCATACACTTCCCAAATCATTCTCAGGGAACAAAAAAGACATTATTGTAAGAGTACAATGGGAATGTTCTGCTAAAGATATGTAATGGGTTTTTTTTTTCATAAAATGGTATCGCCTGATAAGAAGGGGGCTGCCTAAGGAAACTGCTGTTTATATACAAAACTGATGCATTTGTTGTCAGGAACCTCAGCTGTATGGGAATGCCTCAAAGTGTATGTCAATAAATAAGGAGGGTTTTATATTGCAAACATCATGTTTTGATGCTTCTTTGGCACACTGTCACTTTTCTTTCCTCAAATAGTTTCAACACATGGATCCTACAGGCATTTTTCTCTTGGCTTAGGCTAAATGAGGACTAGATGGAAGAAACTGGGAAGAGGATTTAAAATACAGGGTGGATGCCATGGTAGGAGGTCTACAAACTAATAAGACATGTGGAGTTTACTTAGAAGGAAAATGCTTGAATGCTAAGTTCTTAATCCCTCCTATTAGTAATTATCAGGCAAGAATTAATGTCTACAAATAGTTGAACATTACGCAGCTATGATTAAGGGAAATGATTAAGGAAGTTCTGCAAGAGTTTGGGAAAATGTTCTGGTTTGCAATAAGGACGCTCAGCCTAGGAGGGGTAGGGTTATTAAGAGATGCCACAGGCTTGGGGACATTAAGTTAAGGAAGAAAGAGAACTTCTGCTTTGAAGGCATGAAAGGAAAGGAGGTGCTCAGGCATGCACCATTCTCTCCTTTCCCTTTCCCTCTCCAGCTAGCAAAAACACCCCAAAAGCTAAAGGAGACTTTCATTGTACAGTGTAGTCTGAAAAGCGACCTTCTAATTTCATTTTCTTCTTTGCAACCTCATTTATAATTCTCTAATCAAAATCACAACTCTGTTGTACTAAATCTATCTTCATTTTAAGTCTGCTTAGTGTTTAAATTTGACTTAAGTAGATTGAACAGGTATAGGGCATGCGGCTGTCATGGAAGCACAAATCTAAATAAATCATGATTCCAAGCAGGTCTTTTCAGTTGTTGGCAAGGCAAGACAAATGTGCAGATCCTCCAAATTGGACTGTGCTGCTTACTACACTGCAAGGATGGCCACTGATGGCAGAAAGGCTTAGGATACACAGTGTGCAGAGGGAGGCAACAGAAACTGCCCATGGCTCTGCGGGAAAATCCCTCACGGATGTCTGTCTGCATCTGGGAAGGGCTTGGAGCAGGAGTTTTGCTTGGAGTCAAGGGACCACGCAACTTTTGCGATTCTATTTTCCACTTGTATCAAGGATGCTTACATCCCTGCTTAAGTGCTGCGGAAATTAAAATCCAACTCACTAAGCCCCTGCAAAATAGCCTCACCTCTTTCTCATTAGCTTTTCTAACCCTGAGTTACTGTGCTCTTTCTAATTTTTATGGTACAAAGCATCTCTTCTGCTGCTCCATAAAGCCCCCATCACAGGCAGAATGCTGCAATGTAATTACAAAGGCATCATTTTTACAAGCAGGATTGTCCACAGCCACAAGTAAACACTGAGATTACAAATGGAGACTACGAGAAGGGATAACTTAAATTCCCTATAAAAAGCTGAATAAAGATTTCTAGACATTTCCCATGAAGTCCAACCTGAGGGAGGAGGAAGGAGATGGTTGCCATAGTGCTGAAAGGGACAAATGCACCTCTTGCTGAGTTATGCAACATCAAGAGACATCTTTTTATGTCTGGCAACTCCATAACCCGATAACACAGAGTCATGGGGCTTATAGCAACCAGCCTTTCAGCCTCTCCCTTGCAGTATGTTTGACTGGAATTCCCTTGCTAGCTTCCATCAATATCTTCTTTCTTACCATGATTGAAATTCATACTTTTAACACCATCAATTTCCCTTTTGAATTTAAGCCCCATTGAAATGGATAATGGCAATAGCAGAACTGTAAAAGACGTCAGTTCTTTTAGCCCTGCTAGGCAATAGCACTAGAGAAGGAATGCTGCAGTGTCAGACAGCTCATATGTATTACGATAGACCAAAAACCTCCAGGGCCCTCATCTGCAGCAAAACAGATTTTCTATCAAAACCATTATGTGAATAAAATGTAAGAATAGTCCCCTATTTCAGAGAAGATGGATGTGTGAATGGAAAACTGCTCTGTGCCACAAAGTAATGGATTGAGATTATCCATACAATTATATTTAACAAATCAAGTTTCCCCCCTAACTCCCCATTCCTTTCTTTCTTCTTTTTTCATGCTAGGAAAGAAAAATATACACATGTACCATTCAGAGCAGTTTGAGTGTCTGTACAGCAACAGCCATGGCTTTGCGACAAGGCTTCAGATCTGCATCTGGAATGAAGTGTGCCCCCCATGAAACCTAAATTCTCTGTTGGGTTTCTAAACCCTTATGTGTTAGAAACCATGAAACTAAATCTATCAATGAAACAAGAGGAGAAA